TCAGTAAGGCATACTGCAGAATTCAGGAATTTCCTGAGTTGATATGTCATTTATTCCTGGCAAACTATCACCTTTGTCTACATATAGCTCATATTTTCCAAACTAGAAATGTACCCACTTGAGTTAACTTCTTCCACCAAACAAAAAGAATTATTTTAAAATTGCTACTCAGATTTTAGAGAAAGTCAATGACTTTAAAATGGCATGACAGACAAGCTGCCTGATCTCTGGCCTTTAGGTTCTTTATCTATAATATAAAAGGGTTGAAAGACTTCCAAAGTATCTTTCAACCCTAATATTCATGAGTTTCCAACGACACAGTGTGAGTACTGGATGTTTTGTTCTTAAAAAACATTCCTAGAAAACCATCAATAGTGAGGCATATTTTTTTAAGGGTAATTTACTTTTAACAAGAAGTCTATTTTCATAGATATCCGTTTACCCTTGTCTTAAACATAAGAAAATACACCAAAAGATATTCACATTTATACAAGTTTCCCTTTTAGAAGCCATTTTCTCTGTGATAGAGAACTTCTAGTAATTCCATGGTGATAATAGTTGTGTAAAAAGGATACAGTGCAGGGCTTCCCTGGTGGCGCAGTGGTTGAGAGTCCGCCTGCCAATGCAGGGGATACGGGTTCGTGCCCCAGTCTGGGAAGATCCCACATGCCGCGGAGCGGCTGGGCCCATGAGCCATGGCCGCTGAGCCTGCGCGTCCGGAGGCTGTGCTCCGCAACGGGAGAGGGGAGAGGCCACAACAGTGAGAGGCCCGTGTACAGCAAAAAAAAAAAAAAAAAAAGGATACAGTGCAATCAATGGCAACAATTCAGCACTACCAAGTTCTGCAGGAACAAGGAATGGGCAGAACATCATTGTGAAAATGTGTATTTACTAAATAAGCTCAATAAATTGGGACCTTCTCAGGAACTGTTAGAGAATGAAAGACCAAACATACTTTTCACATACTGACATTTAAAAAGGCAATTTAAACTCCTGCTTTTCCTGCCTTCACTGAGACAAGCCCTAATAAACATATTATTCACCTACAAAACAACACTTTTATTCAGAAGGATTCCCATGAACTAACCCACCTGAGGTTATGACCTAATAATCATTGAGCTGCACGCATTTTTCTGGCGTTTTTAAGCAGTGATTAAATATGCTAATAATCATAATTTAACATATTTAGACACAAGTTTACTCACTGAAATACCATGAGTTTTAGTTTCATGAACCAGCACTTGAATTTGAATTACCTTTACTGCTACACTAACAAATTTAATCCCTGGAGACAACACTGATAGCACTTACCAGGACTTTGTAGTGACATGATACTATCATGTATCGGGGTTATGATGATCATCTTACTTCTTCAAAAACAGGGGAATTACTTGGGAGGAGTAGCCAGGTATGATTTACCCAAGTATCTTTCCCAGCACCTAACCCCACGTTTTTTAAACAGTAGGTCCTTTCCTAAATCCCTGTTGAGTAAGTGGAGTTCAAATGTTCATATCTATTAATTACATGTCAACGTCTTCTTATACAGATCTCTTTGTATGTGCCTAAAGTGAAATTTAATCCCCCAAAAGCATTTGATTCTGATCAGTGTTTTAGTTATCTAACTATTCAATCAGCAAATTCAGGGTAACCAAATTACCACAAATATTAGTTGCTCTGAAAAAAATGGTTAGCTTAAATATAGCAAAACAAGCCAATGGAAATAAAGAGAACTGAATTTTTAAAAAGATAAAAGAACTGCTCATCCCATTACAAGGTTAAGTTCTGTAAATGTAGAGACTTTTTTGACTTGTTCACTGATGTATCCCCAGCTTCCAGCAGTGTCTGGCAAATACTGGGCCCTCAGTAAATATTTGATGAATGAACAGATTGCTGATAAAACATATTATTTTATCTACTATATATATTTAGTTCAGAATGTAAAATAGGACTCGTTTGTGGAGTGCAGAAGCTCTAATGTAAGCTGATACTGAAGTGTGATTCTGGCAAAGTCTCCAGGATTTGGGATTACCAACTGCAAAATACAAGTAAGTCTACATCCCAGACACTGACTGGCTGATCGAGCCTGGGCCTGGGATATATCAAGCACAGGTAAGCAAGAATTTCAAGTTATCATCCCTGTGCATGCAGGCAGTACCAGTGCCAGCAATAACAAGACAGTTTTTCTGGCAAATCCATCGAAATTAAATCTTAAACTTTTGAAAAATGAATGTTTATTATGCTCCTTCAAGCTTAGAAGCTTAACTATCTGTGGGAGGTGCCTATGATCATGATCAATTACTTGTGACTTGAAGGCACTTATTAAGGCGTCTGCCCTTTTAAGAAACCTTTAAAGAACCAGCCATAGGACTGTAAAACGGATCCTGCGGGACAACAATAAATCACAGGTTTGGGGGCCCAACTTTGACAACTCTCCCTTGGAAGGAAAGAATTTGTTGTCACCTGTGCTTGACTTCCTGATCCTGCCTGAACAAATATCAGCATCCTCTAAAATCTGAATTCCTAGTCTAGCTAAGTAAGTCATGGGGGCCAGTAATTGCCCCAAGGCAGAAGTGGAAGAGAAGAAACAGGAAGGAAACAAAACGGAATGGAGATCTGCAGCTCGTGAGGACGACATCATCAATAATTTTCTGAAGTGTCACTGAATTTCATGGCATTTGACTGATGGTCTTTTCTGACAAACTACAGTCTCATTATATTCAAGCAGCTTCTTGGTTCCAGAGCCTGTAATGTCTGGGCTTGAGTATGACTTGCTCTACAGGAAAGGTCAGGTGAACTGAGGCCTTACTGGGAACTTTCTCCATGGCAAGGGCCACGCTAACCTGCCTGAACACAAATAATACGTGGACATTTGAAGCATTCTTAAATTTACAAAGTGTTTTCATATACACTATCTCAGTTTCTCCTCACAATTCTTAAGAGGTAGATGTCATCATCACCACTTAACATGTGACATAGTTTTAGAAAATGATGCCTTTGTCTTCAACTTGTAAGTATAGTCTCCTAAAATTTCTCAGTATAGAATCCAAGACATGGGTTAGTTAGAAATCTGTAAAGACATGCCAACCTCAAGAGAATAAATCAAGAGAATAAGATGGATTAGCCAAAATCTACCAGCACAATGACAAAAACCACCTTCCTTTGTCACAAGAATAAATTGTGTTTTTTAAAGGATGTTACACCGGGTTGCCTCTGTAACACTGCTACAATTGGAAGAACATGATTTTATTTATATACATGATAATCATCCTTAACTGGACACTATCCAAAGGTAACAGACAAAATAAAACAAGAACTTTGGACCTACAATTCTAGTGGTGGAATTCACCCTTTGGGAAGTGTCTAGGTGATTCCACTAGGAAGATAACTAAGTTACAGGGGACAAAATGTACCCTTAACTTTTCTCTCCAATATCACAAAAGACTCCCCAAAAGGGTTTTTGTTGTTTTTCAACAAAGAAAACACACACACAAAAGGTTATCTATTGCTTTTATTTATAATCCCATCTTCCTAAAACACTGATTCCCTCAGTCTCATTATCTTTTGTCCCTCTCTTCTTTACTGGCTAAAATAGAGGTATATTAGGGTCCTGTCATTATAGCCATTTACTACTTTATTTAGGTATTTATGATTCTTTGCTGCCTTCTAGCCTGAGTCTGACTGTATCAGGAACAAAGCACAACACAAATCATCCAACCTGGGATAAGAGGAGACAAGCTGAAACCTCCCAGGAAGATTCTGTAGATACTTGGGCTCCCTGAAACTATAGAGGGCTTGGTATTTCAAAGGTCAGCCTTGGGTCTCTCCACTTTGATGACTAATGTTAAACTGTTTGACCTTTTTACAAAAATATTTGGCTGTGCTTATTTACATAATTTCATCCACAGCACACATACAGTAGTAGACACATATTTGTTGAACAGAACCCCTAGACGGATGAGAAGACAGGAAGAAGACCTCCTTTTTGGAACATACTATCTTAGGAGTTGAGAAAGGTGAAATCACACCCTGATTTGTAGAAGTTTCTGGGCATTCCTTTTCAGCTTAAAACTATGCACCTCTGTTTTAAAAAGAAAAGGATGACACACCACACAATGTCAAACACACAATGGGGAAATTCCAGGATCACTAAGAAAACATCATTATCTTAAGCGACACACACTTTGGTTTAATACTGGTTACCACACAAGAGAGGCTATAAGTACTGGTGCCTCCTCACCCACCAGCACAACCCACCCAGGAAAAGAAAGGGCAGGACCTTTAGAATATAAAGATTCCACAACCTGGACTCACATCTGACCCTTTGGAGAAGGAGTCTAAGGACTATGCTGGCCCAGAGACATAAAGTAATGCAAGCAGGTAACATTTTGGGAAGAAATTTTTTTAAATGACACAAACTGGGCATCAGCACTGAAGTCCTCAGACCATCAGAAATCCTTATTATTATGCAACGTTAATAAAAAGAAACTGTGTGACTGGCAAAACTATTCTTAAAAGTTTCTGTACTTTTAAACCTTATTTCTACTAGGCCCCGACAATAAAGCTTTCTTTCTACTAATTATCACCATATCCTCAGACCTCTCACTCATTCTCTCAAAAATTCCCCCAATGGCCATGGAAACCATGCTGGGGCTGGAGGGGCGCGTCTCCGGTTGGCCTGTTCTGTCCCTAAAAGACGCCCATCTTTCTGGATGCCTTTCAGGGTGGGCAGGGAGAAAACACTTAGAACTTGCACAGCGGCAAGGAGGCCTGCGCAGGTCACATTTTATGACCTGTCTTTCTGTTCGCTGTCTGGCAAGGTCACCGGCTCTGGCTCGTGGCTCTGTCGACAAAACTTACTCTCACTCGGTAAGGTCAACGGGTCGCGCCGGGCCTCCCTAGCCGCCCCCCTGCCCCTCAATCGTCGTGGGCCCCAGGATCCCAGTCCCGGCCCTCCCACGGCGCGCGGCCCCAGACGGCGCGGGCGCCGCTCCACAGCTCACCTGACCACGTTGGGGTGCTCGAAGGTCTCCAGGTGCCTCAGCACCGCCACCTCGCGGATGGTAGAGAGCGGCATGCCCTCCTCGCCGGTCTGCACTCGCACGCGCTTCAGCGCCACGAAACGGCCTCCGTTCTTCAGGTCCCGGGCCTTGAACACCTTCCCATAGGCGCCCTCCCCGATCTCCGCCACGCATTCGTACTGCTGGTCGGCACGGCTCAGGCCGTCCTTCTCCATGCCGCCCGGACGCCGCCCGGCACGGCGCCGCTGGGGCGGGCGGGGGACGCGCTCGGCTCGCTCGTGGCCGCTGCTCGCCTCCTCCCGGACCCCACGGCCCGCTCCCTCGCGCCCTAGAGCTCGATCTCGCTCTCTCTCACCCCCGCCGACTACCGCGGTCCGGCGCTCGGACTCTCGCGGCCGCCGGGGCTGGATGGAGCGACCTCCCCGCGGGCGGGCACAACCCTGGTGCCGCCGCTGCGAAACTCCGCCTGCCGAGTCGCCGAGGAGCAAGCCGATCCCTCCTCTTCCCTCCCCGAAGCTCAGTCCTCTGTACAGGCACCAAGGCGATTACATAGTCTTTGCCCGAGCGCGTCTCACTCCACAGTCCTTCCACCTAAAAGAGGAGACGGGAGGACAAGAAGAAAGTGTAATCAGACATCCCAGGCGCCTTCCTCGGGGTTCCTGTAGACACCCCTCCTCCTCCTTTACGAAGCCCCCTTCGCTACCCTCTGCGAGCTCCTGCCCTCTCCCAGGCCGCTTAATCCTTCCTGGTTCCTCCGAGAAAAGCGAAGTTACTTTTCTTTCCCTGCAGAGCTGGAGCCGTCTTCGCGCGGAGAGGTTGCAGGGGCCCCTCGGGGATGAGCGCGGGGCGCGAGACGCAGTGGAACGAGAGGGGGCGTGCCAAGCAGCCCAGAGTGTGCCGGGAGCGCGGGGGAGGGGAGGCGCCGGGCACGTCAATGTCACGGCTTAATATTTATCCTTATATCATTGTGCTGTGCTGCTACCCTCCCCGCCTGCCCAGGCCTGGAGGTGCAGGGAGAGGGGCTCCTGGGATGCCGTGGGGCGTTTCGGGGTCGTGCACAACCTGGTGTGGAGAGACCGCCGGGTCCACTGGTGTGCGGCCGCAGAATGTGGGTGGGGGCTCCCAGGACCCTGTAACCCGAAGCTGGGAGTGTGCGAGAAGGGGTGGTCAGACATCTGCTCGGAAATTGCTTCCTTTCTTTCCACTTTCAGTTTTTCTACGAGGACACATTTTAAAACGACTTCCACACACAAATGGTCTTTTTAGGGTAAAGGAATCTGGATTGGAAGCGGAATTCTTCCTCCGACCTAGAGGACCTCCCTGGTGGAGACCCATCAGGTCGGGGAGGGCTGGAGCTCCCGCTCCTCGGGGGTGGGTGAGCGACAGGGCCCTGGGGGTGGGGTGGGAAGTCGCCCACGGGACCCTAAGAGTGGGAGAAAGAGGTGTTCACCGCACTTCAGCTTGTCGTCTCCTTGGAGAACAACTTCAGAAGGAAGGCAGCATAACCGTGACTCGCCTAGAAATTTTCAACCGATTGAACCTGAGCAAAACTCAGCCTCCCCTTAAAAGGGGTGGGCGGGGGGAGTAAATGCTGAGCCTCCAGGGGAAAGTGAGAAGGGGCTGCGCCCTTGAGGCCTGGACTCGCGAACCCTTCCCCACTCCCAGGGTCGTCCCCAAAGTAGGCAGCAGAGGTGGCTTCTCCATTCCCCTTTCGGCTTAAGGCCGGGTCCGAACAGCAGCCAGTGGCCCCCCAGGAGCCCCCCACACAACAAAGCGGGGTGGGTAGGGGACGACGCACTATCCCTTCCCATTCGGCTGCAATCCAGGACCCAGGGAACCTCCTCCCCACCGCCGCTTTGGGCTCGGCCGGACATTCGCCACTACAGCCGCGTGTCCGAAATTCTCGGGGCACCTCGGAATTACCTGCCCGGCAACCGCTGGCGCAGTCGCCTTCTGCCAGGCATTATAGAAACAAAATGCGTGACCCCCACGGCCTGCGGGCGGAGGGGCCCGCAGCGAGGGCAGAGACCCTCACACTCACTCTATTCAAAACTCTCCTTAAAAGGTGAAGGCGAATCCTGGGGGAGCCGAGGAACAAGCCCCTAGAGCCAGCACCGCGGTCTGAGGCAGGCCGAGGGCCACACAGGTAGCTGAGGAGCCGCCGCAGGCTGCGCAGCCCGCCCCCTCCCGCGGCCCCCCCTCCCCTCCGCTCCCCAGTCCTGACCGCCGCTCGGCAGCGAAGGAAGCGTCGGGGACGTCCCACCCCCGCAGGGAACTGCGCCCGCTGCCCCCGCCTGGCCCCGCACCGCCCGCCCCGGCTCTCCCCCCTCGCTCCCCGGACTGTAGGCTCCGGCGGAGAGAAACGGGAGCAGCAGTGCCTTTTCCCCCCCTCTCCTCCACTTTTTTTTTGTTGTTGTTGTTGCTTTCCCACGCTGGCTGAATGTGTCTTGACCCCATTTCAAAAAAGTTTGACATAGTGCTTCAACATTTCCGCATTCCTCCGCGACTACAAAGGCTGCAGCCGCCTCCTTCTGCTTTCTGTCTCTGCTCTCTGTCTTCACACTCAATGAAATCCTTCATGTGCCTCTCCCGAAGCCTGCCAAGCACCGCAAGGGTCGCCACCAGCGCAGCGACAAGAGGCCGCACCGGGGACCACGACTCCCGCGTGTGCGCACAAGTAGATGCGCCCACGTGCACACTGACGGGCGCGGTGCTGGGCCCGAAGGTGCTCACCCCGGGGCGTGCGTTTTAACTTCGATATTTTAAATTAGAAACGTAAACTGGGAAACTAAAGCAAGCGTGTATCCTTGCGGGGCTTCCAGCCTGGGCACTGGCCGCCTGCGTGCACTCCTCTAAGTGTGCATAACACGCCCGCAGGGGTTGCCAGCAAGAAGTTTGCGTTAACATTTATCTCTTAGTGGGTAAGGTGGAGCCCACACCGTACCTCAACGAGCTTTCGGGGGACATAAACATAAGGCACCGAAACACATTCTCCCCCATGGAGTCCGCAACAGCAGTGCATTTTAAACCCTAAATGTGGATTATTATGTGAGTTTCCGAGTAGAGTTTGAGTTCCGTTTGAAGAAGCTGGATAAAAAGTGTTTGTGGGTGCGTTTGTGCGCAAGGCTATGTGTGAGCTGGCACAGGATCTCGGTGTTGGGGGTCGTCCCTCGTGTGGCGTCCTAATCTGGCGTCCTCTGGCCGGATTAGGAGAAACTCCTTTAGCTCCCCAAAACTAGCCCCCATAACTACCCCGCCTCGGTTCGTAAGGGGTTAACCAAAGCCTATTCCGAGAACCTACCGCCCCCCCCACCCGGTCCCCGTCCCCCCTACCCACCCTCGCCTCCGACACCGGCCAAGCCTCCAAATCTCCCCCGGGGACCCTCCCCCCCACCCCGCAGCCCACCCACCCAAGCGCACAGCTCCTTACCTGAGGGGCCCGGCCGCGTCGGGCCTCGCGAAGGGGCTGCGGGTATCAGTCCGACCTTCACACGTGTCCAAGGCGGCGCGGAGCAGGTAACCCGGCTTGGAGGAAGGAGTTACCAGCACTCTCTTCGGCGAAGGGGTGGGCACTGCGGCGGAGGGAGGAGGGGCGGCGGAGGGCGCCGCCCGCGCCGCTCGCTGGGGGCGGACGGGGCTGCGGGGCTCCGGCCGGCGCTCGGGGCCCGAGCCGGGGAGGCGACGGGGGCGGGGTTGGGGGCCCCGGAGGCCGAGTCTGCCGGAGACCTTCCCGGCTGCGGGGTTGGGGGCTCGGCTCTCAGTGGCAAGCGAGTGTGCAAATTAAAGCCTTCCGGAGAGAGGGGAGGCGGCCGAGACCCGGCTGTGCTCTGAGCCTCCCGGCTCCCTAGCTCTCTGCTCCGAGTGGGGGGCGAGAAAGAGGGGGGAGTTCAATGAAAATTTCCGGCTTTCACTGCAACTGGAGTGAGGGATCTTGCGACTAAAATAAGAGGCGTGAGAGGGAGAGTGGGATGTGTCGTCGGGAGTCGGCGGAGTTACCAAACCCAGGGTCGCCCAGAGTTGGGGTTTTGACAGAGTGAGGCGGGCTGGGCGTATCAGCAGTCTGTGATGTAGACGGATGGGAAAAACACAAAACAACCAACAATAATTATGAGGGGCCGGTGGGGATGGTAAATACCAACACTTTCCAAGAAACTGAAAAATCAGACCAAAAAAATAACTCTTCTCTATTAAAAAAAAAAAATTGGCAGGACGCCTTGCAGAAAAGAAAATACTAATCTGTCCAAGCACTTTTCACTTTCAGCATGAGCTACATTTGTTTTGTTTTCCTTCGCTTCCTTTCGGCCTCACAAAGCCCTATCTTTTCCTTTTGGACAGAGGATATGACTTGGAAATTGTCAGGCACTCTTGTGGTTAACGATCTACTTGAAGGAGCTGGCCGGTTCACAATTATTAAGAGATTAGCAAATGCTGAGGGTTCACTAAGGTATTTCTGGGGAGGTAAAAAGCCTGAAATTGATTGTAAATAACAGAACTGCAAGGTAATAGACACACACGCACACACACACAAAGAGGAGACAACACGATTCGGTGGGTGCTCAGTTTAAATGCATTATTGGAATTCTGAAATTTGAAACCTTGTAAGAATGTATACTTTACCTGCTGAGAAAACCTGAATACAGTTATTTCAGGTGAAAATGAGATTTTGGAGAAAAATAAAAGTCTTCTAGACTTTCTACAGTGATGTAAAACAAAACTTAAAATAGCTATTTTTTTGGAAAGAATTCAGTGTTTTCCAAAATCTCTATCTGTAGAATACTTGAAACCCTTTAAATATCTTAATGCAAACCCTAAAAAATTTTATTTATTTCAGTGCTCTGTGGAAAAGTTAAAACCCAGAAAAATTCTGTTGGAATTGAAAACACTACCTTATAAATCTTCTGACTTCACAGTAGATCAAACTTTTGCTTTATAAAATTGATTCTATACTACAGTGTGAAGTAACAGGTTAGGTAAATAAAAATTGTTGCATTTCCATTAGCGAATATTTTGCAATGCATTATAATAATTTATTCTTAAAAAATAAAAGTGAATAATTGTGGGTTTTATGCTTAAGATAGTTCATAAAGTACATTTTGTGTTTAGAAGCATATCTTCTAAAATGAAATCCAATTTCTGAACAAAATTTGTATGTGTAAAGATATCTATAATCTCATATACCTTACAGACTTAAGAAAGCAAATTGTTGGATTTTGTATTTATATAAAATATTGGATCACTACAAATCACTAATTAGACATTAAACCAGAGACACAAATGGGAATCCTCCATTTTGATAATTGCTTACACTAGCAATGCTTTTTAAAACAAGATTTACTTGCTGGTAATTAACACATTTATAAAATTCAGAAATAATTGTCAATAAATAGTCATAGGAACCAGCAAATGATTGTAAGAATTTGAGTAAATAATTTGTTTAAAAATATTAAGCTGTAAATATCTTTTAAATTAACTGAAAAATGTCTTTTCTACACTGGGTTGCATTTTGAATTGCTGAATTTGGTAACAACCATAGATGGATTAGAAACTCCATGATTTAGCTTACTACATCACTTGGGCTATGTCAAAAACAATGAAACTTTATTTAATTATATATGTTATTACTGAGTGTTACCTCTCTTTATGTCATCTGCTTTCTCTGATGCTGTTAATTTATCATGTTCACTCACCCTGGTTATGGTTCACATTAACTCCAGGTTGGTTAAAACTTCAGACCAGGAAGTTTTACAATGGATTGTATAAAATTAGTAAATACCAGATTGTTTTTGTTTATGGATAACTTCCTCTGTGGATAACAGGTTATCATAACAAAATTTGCACAAAGTTTATAAACTGTGAACCAAATTCTGACTCCTTTGTTTAGGAGTCTTTGATGAATGAATACATCATTCCAGAATAGTGATTTGTACCAGTATTTTCACACTGCATCTCAGGTATTCTAAAGCTGCAAATCATCTTACAGTTTTTTTAAAATTAGAATTCATGGAATTATTTCCAGATATGATGTTGCAGCTTACCCTAAAAGTTTCCTTAGTGTCACATAAGAGATATATTCTGTGTGTGAACATTTTATACCAAATATCTGTAAATTTTTGTTTTCACTAAAATAAAAATATAAATTACAGACCAGAATTAAAATTTTTAACACTTTAAGAAAGAAGAA